AAAAGGACATTCGGTAGACTGAGTCCCCACTGTTGGTTCAACCTTAAAACTTGTTTGTATTCAAAATTAATTATGACAATGCATATTTATATTGAAACAAACTATGATAAAAAGGAATTATATTATATAACAAAGGGCAAAGTCACCAGAGTTCAACTATGTTCATTGGTAATGTGCTTTAAATGTCATTATCATTGCGTTAATCTTAATGTAAATAATTTAAAGCAAAAACTAAATTTTGAAAGACATGCACATTAAAAAAAGTTGGCTACACAACCGTTTTCAAAGTCTAGTTTTTTAAGAAAGCCAGTCTAGTTTGTTAAGAAATCTCAGTGCTGTTTTACAAAGCAGTTCACTGATAGTGAAGATGTATAAATGAAAAAAATAGTACCAGGTTCTGCCGTAAATTCACCCTGGGCCGTTAAACGGCAGTTCAGGTTTTTTAAAGGGCGATTTTTCTGCAGTTTTTGAAGGTGTTATTTTAATCTATTCTGATGCCTGAAAGTAACATCATAGTCATTGACGTCTATTGAAGAGTATTGATGTTTATTGCGACCAGCGTAAATGGGTAAGCTTTGTTTCGACAATGAGCTGTTATCGCTGTAAAGAATGTTATATTATTCCTCAAATGCTCAGTTTATCTTTTGAAAACAACTAATATTTTTATTTAAAAACAAATCATGCCACTTTCCCATCAAAATCCAAGCCAAACGATCGTACAACAACATCGGCAAATCTCTTCCGTGTTGCGTTAAGTAACATTAACACATTTAAATGAGCTATGGTAATTTTAACACGTTGGCATCATCCATTTTCATTGATTAATTAGCGATTTGACCTGTCAGGTCAATGAACACTGTCCCAGGTCAAAACATGGCGGATATTCATTCCTACAGCATCGAGCGTTGAAAATACATTCAGAATCATTCGCTTACGATGAAATACGTTGAAATTTATTTGCATTACATAACAATTCAACAAATTTATTTTTTGCACGTTATTAGAATCATTACTCGGTAATAATCAACAATTGTGAAACACAGCATGATCGGATTGTGCTACCTCGATCATTTGCTACTAAGCAGTTGGGTTCGTTTTTATTTGAAACTTCTTTTAGAATATACTTTCGTTACTAATAAAATGAAACAAAATAATTGTATTTGCCGCACGATGTTCGTTAATATGTACTTTTTAATCCAGCAAGAAAAAAAAATGTATAAAATTTTCTTTCGTTTTGGGTGGTCCATGGAAGTACTTGTTAGTACGTCCATGGGTGGTCCAACTGCCGGTGTTGAAAGTCGGCGTAGGTGGATTTATCAATGAAAATATAAGCCCCCCAAAAATATTTGATGATCATTTTTTGAAATTTTGAACCCAAAATAAGGGCCCACCAGCCATGATGGGCGAATTTACAGCAGAATCCGGTGGATTATTACTCTGTAATAAGGGGGCTGGTGAATCCAGGAAGCATGCCTGAAATTAAATATCTACTGCAAGAAGTTGTCGTTCAATGATATCATTATGTCTGACATTTTGGATGATGGACTGTTTGGAATTTACATCCATTTCTCTTTTTAACTTTCAGTTTTGTTGATGAATATGATCCTACCATAGGTGAGTTTATTTTCATTTTTGTTTCATCATTTCAAAGGAATCCAATATTAATATATTTACATATGTTTGCACATATTTATGTAATTTTCTATAATTTCGGTGTAATTTTTAGACCAAATGGGCATAAATTCTCATTATGTATAGGTATAGATCAAAACTTGTTATCACATAACAAATAAAAATTTATATTTTGTTATATACATTTGTATAAAATGTTAAATTACTGACTCCTACCCTTCCACTTGTTTGAAAGCCACATATGTAATTTTCCCGCCAAAATGTCTGTGCCACATTTTGCGTATTTTTATGTATTTGTATAATTTCTATGTATGGTAAATATTGGACAAAAAGCACATATAATTGCATTGGATAAATGTCTTGATCAAAATATGTGAGAGAAAAAAAATTACAGAAAAATATGATGCAAGTTTTGTTTGTAAAAGTTAAGAGGATCCAGATATTTCACATAATTGTTCCAAAACTCCAGTTAAAGTTTCATATGTGTGAATAGTCGAACTGAAACTTTATATTAGCTTAGTTGGCATAAAAGTAATCCGATTTTGTGATATATTCAAGAGATGACGGTTGTTAAAAGGTTATTTAAGAAGAATTATTGCTATTTCAATGACATTGTTAATTTTGTCAGAATTCAGATCATAGTTCACATTGTTGATGTGACTGATAGTCTTCGATTTCCCCATTGCAATATGTTAAAAGCATTTGTTCATATTCATATTGTCAATTACTGTCACTTTCATTAATGGTAATAAATTCCAACCATTCCAAATGTAACTGAATGATGGTTATTGCAAAATTAAATTGTGAACTATGGAAATAACATTTATTCAATATCGACATATTAATAACAGTAATATTATCTAAATTAATAGTTCATCAAAAATTCAACTTGTGCAATGAAAATATGTGTTTGATGTTCTTTGTAACACGGGGCATCCTTATTTTTGTTTGTTTACAGAGGATTCTTATCGTAAACAAGTTGTTATTGATGGAGAGACTTGCTTGCTTGATATTCTTGATACTGCAGGTCAAGAAGAATACAGGTACTAACAATTTCACACTGCTTTTCTTATTTATATTTAGATTTATATTTAGACCATATATGCTTTGGTAGTTAAGTTTTTTTTTTGTCCCATAATTCATCCATTTTTCAGTATTTCAATTCCTTGAAAAATAGTAAATATTTGCAATTGTAAATGTTTTTTCATCCTAATTTCTTCTGTTTAGATGGTCTAGGCAAAAACTGATATCTTCCTGATTATTTTTGTATTACAAAATTGGAGATTTCAGCTTTGGTCAAAAGTTTTTTGTTGCTATAGTCACTTTTGTGTGTTACAAACAGTTTTTATGAGATTTTTCCATTCATTTCTATGCAGTGCAATGAGAGATCAGTATATGAGAACTGGTGAAGGCTTTCTCTGTGTGTTTGCTGTTAATAATGCAAAGTCATTTGAAGATATTGGCTCTTATAGAGAACAAATAAAAAGAGTTAAAGATGCAGATGATGTCCCCATGGTTTGTAAGTATTCTCAAAAGTTATTATAGATGACCCCCTACACATGAAACAAAGATGGCCACCTACATGTGATAAAAAAATGGTCGCCTAAATATGAAACAAAGATGGCCACCTACACATCAAACATAGATGGCCACCTACACATGAAACAAAGATGGCCACCTACACCTGAAACATAGATGGCCACTTACACATCAAACAAAGATGGCCACCTACACATGAAACAAAGATAGCCACCTACACATGAAACAAAAATGGCCACCTACACATGAAACAAAGATGGCCACCTACACATGAAACAAAGATGGCCACCTTCACATAGAACAAAGATGGCCACCTTCACATGGAACAAAGATGCCACCTTCACATGGAACAAAGATGGCCACCTTCACATGGAACAAAGATGGCCACCTTCACATGGAACAAAGATGGCCACCTTCACATTGAACAAAGATGGCCACCTTCACATGGAACAAAGATGGTCACCTACACATGAACCAATAATGGACACCTGCAAATGTAAGAAAGATGGCCACCCACATGTGTAAGAAAGATGGCCATCTTACTTATGAATATAATGTGACCACCTGCACGTGAACCAAAGCTGGCCACCTATATGTGAAAGAAAGATGGCCACCCACATGTGATACAAAAATCTTGTTCATTGATTGGACAGCTACAAATCTTCCTGGCTATCATATTTAATTTTGTTTATTACAGTGGTAGGAAACAAATGTGATTTGCCAACGAGGGCAGTAGATTTGAAAGAAGCTAATACACTAGCAAAGAGTTATGGTATTCCTTTTATAGAAACATCAGCTAAAACTAGACAAGGAGTGGTGAGTTGATATTAAATATTTGATAGCTATGTCAGTTATTGGGTCGATTTTGTTCGTAGATGATATAGAAACAATACAATACCTGTATGCATGTTAATTGGTTTTAGAAATTGATTGTATATGACCGACTGGCAGCCATTTTTGTTTGAAACACATTTCAATGTGTTATCATACAAACTTGTCGTTTTGTTTCCGTATTTGGTTCAAAGTGGCCGTCAGGCAGCCATGGTGGTAAGTTATTGATGCTGATTTTATTTCAAATTATTCTTTCAGGATGATGCTTTTTACACATTGGTTCGTGAAATTAGAAAATATGTAAGTACCACTATAATTTATGCCGGCTTTTTCTTCTGAATACCAGGGCTTTCACATGCACGGTTTCACACTCTTAACTACTAGTACTTTTTATACATGTGTGACTGTATCAATATATGCCTGTCCAATGAGACAGTAGAACTGTTAACAATGTATGAAAACAGAGACTTGTAAACAGACCTCAAGGCTATATATATATATATAGAGACAGTATCAATAAATGTGGCACACAACAGACCTCACACATGCAAAATGGAAACACATGTGAACATGCATTTGTTTTGTGTTCCAATTCATGATGGCTTACTGAATGATTGGCTGTCTTGTCACTTGCCTTGGCCTTCACTTGTTCTTGCCTCTGTAACTGTATTTGGTATTATCCTTCAAGCGAGTGATTTCACACAATTGACAGTTTCAACTCTTGTTAGTCCCTGACTTATGTTTTGCCCTGTGTGCGTCCATGCGTATGTGCGTTCCTGATCACCTGTATCTCGAACATGCATGGACCGATTAAGTTCAAACTTCACTCATACATCACACATTATATGGGACAT